TGTCATGTTTCAATTAACTGCTTCCATTTTTGTGTCAAATAGAATTTAAAAAGATGTTATAACCATTTTCTTCCAATAGTGAACTGACCTGTTTTAAAACCACTGGGAAAATAAACAGCTATATTATAATAACTGTGCATAAGCAATAACTACATACTGTATGAGTTACCCCGTGGCCTCCTTGTATTCTTCGTGGGTTTTGATTAGCATCTGTTCAGGCTCCTGAGTACCGGGGGAGCCACCGGAGGACGGCTTCCAGAGGAGGTGAAGGGTACGCAACCAGCTGTGTTTGAAAATGCAGAAATGATTACAAAGTGAAATAAAAAGCATGCAGAGTTAGTTACTTAGTATTTTGACACACTTTCTTCTGGTTGCACATTTGTAGATAGATAGATAGATAGATAGATAGATAGATGAAAGGTAGACCACACATATGTCCTCTATATTATATGAACATTTTTCTATGTTCATAAATATTCTTTGTTAATATAATAATTTATAGCTAAATAGTGTCTCATTACGTGGATGCATGGTGTTCTAGAATTCAATTAATGTCTTTTTTTATTGGAATTTATGTGTTTTAAGTACCATAGATACTGATCCATAGATATTCTTATATATACACCCTAGCAGATTAGTCTGAATATTTCCTTAGGACACATTTTTAGAAATAGACTTACTGATAGAGGGCATTTAGTCATTTTTTAATATGTTTGGTACATATGACCAAATTTATTAATTGAATGTTTAGATCAATTTATATTACTGCATACAATGTAGGAGAGTACCTGTATCGATGCCTTTCACCAATTTCCTCATTTGAAAATATAGTTTACCAATTTTCAAATGAATAACATGTCTTTCGTTATTTTAATTTGTATTCATTAATTATTAGTGAGATTGTATCTTTTTACGTGTTTGCTGACTACTTTATGGGTGACTTGTATATCCATAATCTCTACCTTTTCTTTTAAAGAGTTAACTTTTTAATGATTTATTTAAGAATTTCTTTGTATGTAATTATACTATTACTTTAACATACCAATATTTTTCCTGGTAATTTTTAATTTGCATTTTATAAACTTAAAAAATATGTAATAAAATATTACTTTTTTACTTCATAATTTCTTACTTAATATGTTTAGAAAGGGCTTCCATATTTCAAGATTATATAAATATTTACTTATATTTACTTTCTGATTTTTTATGATATCCTTTTTTAAAAAAAACATGGAACTCTAATACATCTGGAATTAATTAGGGAGCAGAATAAGATGCAATAGTCTACCATTTCTTCCCAAACAGTTAAACCAGTTTTCACAGCTTTTATTAAATAATCCATATTGAGTCTTCTGGAGACTTCAGTCATCAAAAATGTAGACTTACCCCTCTAAGGAAGTCAACAACATGGAACTGCATCACAGGCAAAGAGATCTGTTAAAAATCTAAGAGAAGTTAGCCCTGGCCGGTTTGGCTCAGCAGTTGGAGCATTGGCCTGTGGACCAGAGAGTCCTGGGTTCAGTTCCCTCTAGGGGCATATACCAAAAAAAAAAAAAAAAAAATCTAAGAGAAGTTATGAATCTACTCATCATTCCCTATATTTTTAAGTCAAGCAATTTTTGATGTCTGCTCTATTAGTTTATGGAACAAATAAGCAGGTTAGTCTAGAAATATATTTTAAGAATATAATGAACTAGAAGATTTCCAAGTGATAGTTTATTAAATATACATTTCATTTTGTTAGCCTCTTTGCTTTAGCCTAATTTGATATGGGTCAAAGAATGGGTCAGTGATAGCTTTAAAATGCACTAAAACTACTTTGTGTGATATAATCCTATAGAGTAGAAATTTTAAAGCATAATTAGAACTTTAGGGGTATTACATCATAAATTCTTAAATACATGTGAAGACAGCATTTTCCAAGTATAATTCTCATGTCAACTTAGGCCACAGTAATGCAAACAAACATAAAGGTCAAGAAACTGAACCAATACATCGGTAAGCAAGGCTCTCCCTGACTCACTCTCGTGTTCATACTTAGACTGTGAATGTCGGTTAGCTCAATCAAGTCTTGCTGATAATGTCAGCTGTCAGTCATTCCTAGGTAGTGATGCATGAAGTTTGTCAGCAGGCGATGGACCACTGGAGTGATGAATGAAATAATGAGGGCACAGAAGCCTGAGCTAAACTTCTCTATCTCTGATCGTTTCCTCTTCACAGGGGGGATTTAAGACAAGGAGAGAAACACTACATTGAAAAATGCATTTTAATGTAGTTATTTAATTCTCTGTCTTAAAACATCTTTTAAACTTGTATTTAAAAAAATTTAATTAAATGACCAATGATTAATCATCATTATATCCCAACTGTGGTCAGTATAAACAGTGTTAGCTGCTGCAACAGGTAAGCCCCTGAATCCCGAGTGCTTTTTCAGTGAAGGTTCCTCCTTAACTTGGTGGTGGTGTGATTCCTCTGTGAGGCTGTCCCCTATTTAGTGACATGGATGTGGGCAGCCATGCTGTTACTACACCATCAGGACATATTTCTAAAGTCATTGTGGTGGAGGAAGAGAAATGGTGAACAATGCCGGGTCTTTAAAGGCGAGGACTGGAAGTTTACATCATTTCCACTCACTTCCTGTTTTTAGAACGTAATCACTTTAACTCAATTTAACTGCAAGGAGGGCTGGGAAATGCAGAAGAGGTCTTCACAGTCTCTGTGACGTCTACCAAACTTGTTTTATTTTGAATTGTCATTTAAATCTAGGCTTTTACCCATATCATATCATAGGTTGTGTTGCTTCTGCAAGGACGGCTGTGTTTAGCTGGGATTGCCGTTAGTAGACCTTTGCTGATCTTGTAAATCTTCTTTTAAATAGTTGTTCAGTTATTATTACATTTTCCTATATTTTTATCAGTGACACTAAGTAGGCTGTAGTTGATTAAGTTTTATTAAACCTACTTGATTAGATTTTATTACATGCCTTATTGTATTACTTTTATATAATGATTGGTTTAACAGTGCTTGTAGAAATTACTGTAGATAATAAATTTATGGTTCTAGATATTTCCACGTAGTCAAAAATTATATAAGTCTGGGCTCTGATCTACCTTTCTGTATTTTCCAACATGACAGTTTTGAACTCAAGCTACATTATTAAAATGAAGTATCAGTACAACAATAGGAAAATGGGCAAAAAGCACAAATATGCAGTTCAGAAAAGTGAAGTACAAAAATAAATAAGAAACACAGAAGTAGTTTAACCCAATCAGTGAATTTAAGAAACATAAATGAATACAGTTTTATATATGAATTAGCAAAAATTTTTTCCATAGAGTTCTTACCTTATAGATATAATTTTTGTCTACGGTGTTCTCATATGCAAGGGCCACAAGGAGGGGATTTTGTCTGTTTTGTTCAGTGATATTTTGTAGGAACTGAAACCTGTGCCTGTCATGAAATAGATACTCAATAATAAATGTCAGTTAAATAATTACTGAGTGGATTATTTTAAATAGGACTGTTTGTGTGTGCACATGCCCACGTGCACAGGTAACAAAGATGTAATGAGCTGCACCCAGTAATATACGACTGGCTGGAGTATAAATTTGTACAATATTTCTGAAGAACAATTAATGAGGTATATTTTTGTTAAATTCTATTCAAACTATTATGTATTTATACTTCTAGAACTGTGCTTTAGGGATATAATCAGTGAAGTGCAGATTTACAGACAGACTACTACTCTGTTTGTAGTATTGATAATTATAAAAGAGAAAAATAACCAAATGTGAAATAAAATATGGTATTTATCATTCTTTCAAAGCAGAGTAAATAATGTGAAAATGCTAAATGAAAACTGGAGGATGGATAATAGAGTATGATCTCCATTTGGTAAAACTGAGAAAAAAAGGCACATAAATTATTAAACCATTGTTATTAGTAATTATAACTGGATGGTGAGAATAAGATCCCTTTTATTTTTCTTTGTAGTGTTAGGAAATGCATAAAATTTCTGTATGAATATGTATTACTTTATTAATTGCAAAATATTTTATTCATAAATTTTTTCTGCTCTGAGCATATGTTAAAGCATCTATTGCAATGCAGTCTCTATGAAGACAAGTCTTTTTATCTGCTTGGTACATTGGTGGGTTCCTCATGCCAAGAGTAATGATAAGTGTTTTTTGAATAAATGAATGAGCACACAAATGAATGATATGCCTCCATCTTTAAAGGCAATTTAAAACCATTAAATGTAAGAGGATTAAATACTTCCTTTTCTTGTAGAATTGAGCAATTAACTCATCATTAAGTGTTAATTAAGTGCCTATTTATATCTTATCTTCTTCCACTGAGGAGAGACTATCGTCCAGTGGACTGAAAATATCTGTGATCTCTGGTTAGAGTTTGCTTGGTGGGGAGGGAGTTGACCAACACATGGCACACGTGGATTCTAATGAATGTGAGATTTAAAATAATTGTGACAGAAATCTTTTACTTTTGGTAAGTGCCTTTAAGTTAGCCCCGTGTCCTCAGATTTAAAAGAAGAAAATCATAATTAATTAATTAGCAAATGGTATTATTTTGCTACTCAATGACAGTGTTTTTAGTTTATCATTTATGGAGTACAAGGGGAGTATAAGAATAATCACAGATTTTGCTAACATTACTGTTGGGAATGGGAAGCTCACTGAAAAAGTGTGATTGAATAATATCAGACAACACTATATTGTGCTTCCTGTATTCAATATGGGAATGGTTTCAAATAATTTTTATCATGCAACATTCAGTTTAGAGGTATGCAAATAGACGTGTGCCTTATTTAAAAAATGTATTTTTTGCATATTTTCTCAAAACTAAAAGAAAGGTCTTAAGGCAAGCCTTGAAGAAATATAATAATAATGTTTATGTTGTAATTTAGTATTAAATAAGACAATATTAATGTGTACAGTGATAAGGTTATTTTACACAGAGCTTTTGCTTTATTTTTTCTATAGGATTCAGAATTTCCCATATATATGCAACCAAATCCAAACCAGTATTTCTATAAAGAAAATGATTGTCCAGCAAAATTCGACTACACGCCGAATACCATATTTAGACTTCATGAACTTCCAGTGAGCTGGTAGGATTCTTGATGTCTTTTAATGCCTTTGAGACTTATTGTCATGTCTAATGTGGTACTCTTATAGACACTTATGGTTGAAGTAGTTCACTCGTAGCCTGTTTCCAAACTGCTCATCATAACAGTGAAAGAATCTACTTATAGCTCCTGCAAGAATCTTAAAACTAATTGGTTGAGGCACTTGGCGACAGTACCTCTTTAAGTGCCCTACTGTTTGTATTTATTATAGAGGTTGCAGTTCTGGCTTAACATAAAGAACAAGTCATTTTTAGAGAGGTTTGTATGATTTATTCTAAAGATAGGATCTTAGCAACTATGCAATTTGTTTGTTTACTTTACTTACAAATTTGCCTTTTTATCAAAATTTTTTTTATCAGAACAAATCATTAATTTTATTTGTTTTAACGGCCATAGTTTTGCTAACCATAATCACATTGGTTTAAAGACAAAACTTATTTCTTGGTATTTATTTAAAAAGCATTATTTTATGAATCCGCATATTTGTATTCAGAAAACATTTTAAATTTTGTAAAATTCTTAGTATTCAGAGTTTTTGAGGAAAAGGTTTCTGTGGAGAGTCTATAAATATGCATTCTGTCATATAGTTCTGTGGTACTTTTGTAGATTGTCATGGGTATATTATTTTGATTACAGTTTAGGTAAGTAATATTACTTTCTTGCATTTGTTCATATAATCCCAAGTTTATGTCATCAATTTTTAAGAACTGTAACATTGCACAAAAATGTATGTCAAACATTATGTAATTTCTCCTGTCATGCTTAATGAGGACAAATGTCTTAGAATAGGATGTTAACCAACTGTTAATACCTTACATGCATTTACCTGTGATGAGTATTTTGTTTTCATTTGCAGTTTGCTTTTGATGACTATGTGTAAGTTACTTTCTAAACCCTATCTGTTCGGTTATTTCCCTGTAGCAATAATATTGTCTGTGGTACCTTATCTCAGAGCATGGCAGATATGATCTTATCCACTGTGATCAAAACCAGTAGGTTAATGAATTGAAAAGTTCTGTTAGTAAAGAGGACCATAAAAATGGATGCATTCACACCTTTAGTATTCTATTTTGACTTACCAGTGCATTTGCATTTCCATGCCTGTCTTCTGATATAAGGCCGTGGACTTTTCTTTAAGTAACTCTTGATTGTAATTCCACACCGTATTTCTTGCACAAACTATACCAGTAATGCATCATCTACAATTTCAGTTTTGTTGATTCTTTAATCCGAAACAAGAACTTCAGTCACTCAGCAGATTATCTTCCTAACTTTCCAAAGCATTAATTTAATTGTTACGGACAGCAGTATTCCTTGTCACAGTCATATTTCATCACCTTGATTAATCTTAAATTACATTACAGTAGCAAACACAACTGAATTATAAGGAGATGAGGAACAAACTCCTTTAACTCTTTGTGATCCTGGACCTTGGCTGGAGGGAGCTGCCTGTGCTGGGCTACTTGGTTGCCCTCTGAAAGCTCTGAGCAGTGTGGTTCAGTGAGTAGGGCTAGTGTGTTTTACAGACAGAATGGGAAATGTTGGTCGGTGAATCCAACAACTAAGTGAAGGGAAAAGCTTGTATTAAATGAAAATGTAGAGAAAAGAAAGAAGGAAACATTTGTAACTCTTAGTCAAAGACAAAATATGGATTTTAGATTAATTTATTTTTAGCCTTTGGAAATACAGCTGCCCTGGTAACTATCCCTGCAACCCAGGAAATAATTGTATCTGCCACAATCTTCACTAGCTAGCCCATTAGGAGAGAAGACTCTGGTATTATGAGTTAGGCAGTAAAAAAGAAAACAAAAACAAAAAATCACTAGTAGAAAGAATAAACACTAATTTTTTTAGAGTAAAATACCTCAAAGGAAGATTAAGCTGTGACTTGGGGACAACTCATTGACCTGGGCCTTTTCGTCCTTGTCTTCATTTCCAATTATTCACAGTTTCTGCTTCCTTATCCTGCTATTTTTGTTGGCATGTTTTTGTTTCTTTTATTTCTCTCCAACCTGTTTTATCTTACTTCTTTCTCTGTATTCATGTTCTGTACTACCAAGCCTTAACTAGCCATTATATAAAATTCCGTTGTAAATTTTTAGTGTTTCCTCAAATAATTTCCTATTTTCTATTCTTAATATAAAAACCAAATCAACGCTTCCTTCATCCTGCATACACACACAGAGGCTAGGTACTTTATAGGTTTTTAATATAATGCTTATTGACTAAATTATGTTTCTTTAAGGCATGAAAAAAAGTTTTTGTTTTATAATGACTGTGAATTTATTTATTTATTTTTGTTTCTCTGACCACCAATAAAAATCAAGTCCTTCTGCTATGGTATAGAGGTTCCTTAACTTCATCATAATATCAATAATAGTAATGACAGTGATAATGAAAGAGCATCAGTAATAACAATGAACTGTGTTTTGCTAAATGTCTATAAATGCCCAGATTTGGCTACTTGGACACTACCTTTGACCTTTGTATTTCTGCTAAGCAGTTATGATTTCCCCCATTCTCTCTCTTTCTCTCAAACACACACACACATGCACACACACATTCCTCTACCCTACTACACACACAGCCATTCACACACACAAATGAGGCTCAGAAGTCTTGAAAATTACAGAGATTTTATATCAGGTCTGGTTAACTCAAGAGCAAACTATCAAATAATAAGCTACACATTATTTAAATAAAAATAGTAAGGAAATAGTCTCTACTTTTACAATTGGGCATATAATTTTGCCAGTAATGTACAACTTTATGACCTATGCATTTAACCAAATTACTTTTTTTTTTTTCCCTGACAAGCATGGCCTAGGAAAATTGCTTTAAACTTAAATATTAAAATAATTAATTATATTTGTTTAAGTGCAGAACTTATAAATTATATGTCCTTTCTTTGGAAAAACAGATTTATTAAAATATATTTTTGCCACATTTTTCTAATAAGGGTATAATAAAATAAATGAATATTAAATTTTATATAATTTAAAAATTCCTAATGTCTTACTAATTTTTTTGAATTATCAAAGGTAAAGATCTTAGAGTTTCATGAATCTTAAAGAATATTACCCTTAGGAGGATAACAATTACATATAAATACAAATATTTGTAATCATTACTTATCAGTAGTGGACAGAATAATTTAAAACATTTTCTATAATATAAAGATATTAGTTTTGTTTTGTAATTTACTATCTCCTGGTTTGGTAGCTTTCTTTCAAAGTACTCACTATTCAGTTAACTTTCATTAAATAATGATACTATTTATGCCATTAACTTTTAAAAAGTAAGAGGTACAGGAATTTACAGTAAATGTAAACATACATTTTAATGACCTATTTATCTTGTTGGGTGTGCTCCATGAATAGATAGATCATCTCATTAGGAGAGTAGATCTTGAATATATTTCAGATTATCTTTAGTGCCCTTACATGTATCTGTCTGCAGCTTTAAGTTAAGTTTTTTAGACTTTGTGGGCTTGTTAGCAGCTGTCATCTTCTAGGTGTTCTGATTTGTATTTTGGATCAACTTACAACTAACATTATAGAAAGGGCTTTTCATTGGTCACAGATGATGCACAAAGCATTTTCAATTCCAGTATTTTATAGACTCAGAGAGAGACCTGTAGTTGCCCTTCTGGGTTATACTGTTTTTTTTATTCTATTTTAATTATCTAGATCCATAGTAATAACCACAGTGACCTACAAGAAGACATTGTTGGACATATTAAAATTATATATAGCAATTATGTGCAGTACCATCAATGCATAATAATCCCACCTATTAAATAAGGTTGATAAAAATGAAACTATACTTGTCTCTCTTAGGACATAGTTTCAGTTTTTGAAAACAACAAGTTATTCAGTTTTTGCATAAAACTTTTTTGGAGTATATTTCCGTGATAAGGCAAGTCAAATTTTCATAGAATGACAATGCAGTAACACTATTCCAGTAAATATAGAAGCCATCCTTCAGTCCACCTTTTGCTTAGCTACTTACTGGTATTTCCCGTTACTACTGTGTAGTAGAAGGGGATATGGAAGTTAAAGCCACTGGTGAATCTTTATAAATGCAGAATGTCAGTGAGGGTGGCTTAGGGCAAGTATCAATATACCTTTTTTCTCTTTAACAGTTTATTTAGTATTTCAGACAACATTATATTCACATATGTACTTATAATTCAGTTTGAATACTTAGAGGTAGAAAGATTTGATGAAGTATTGGTAATCACCGGTTATAGCAATTCCTGCCATTACTTAGTGGGTCGCCTCACCTAAACTCGCCATGACCTTTTCTTTAATCCATGGTAAAGTTGGTGCATATGGAACGGTATCTCATAATTTAGTTTTTTCCTATTGTTCACAATTACATGGTCAATGGGATACAAACATCAGTGCTTGTACTGATAAGTTTAGATCTTACAACCAATTGTGGCATTTTTTTATATGGCCATAACTAGGATTACATTGTCATGTTCATTTTATATTATTACATTTTTATATCAATAGTGTTTTATAATATAAAAGTAAATAAACTTTTTTATTAGTCTTATTTATACATCCAACATACATAACAATATTTATGCTCTGAACTTTCATTTAAAACTACTGACATTATTGCAAAGCGATAACTATTAACTCAGAGTACCTCATAAAATGGGATATTTTAATGTAAATATCTTGTGAGCACGTCAAACTTAGCAGATCTCAAAGCCAGTTAATTTCCTCTTTCCATTATCCCTTTCCCCCACACCCTCACCTGCTTCTTGCTCCCATTTTGTTAGTGTAACTATCATGCATGTTCACCTAAGATGATCTGTGAATTTTAAGTTCTTCTCCTTATCACTGTCACATTTAGTCAGTCACTTAACTCTGTTCATTCTATACCCCAAATGAGTTGTTCAGCCATGGATTTTTGTCAAAGACTGTCATCTGTCATTTAGGCTTCGCCAACAACTCCCTCCCTACTGG